TACACAACATCACCCACCAATGAATCGCTAGACGACGAAGTCCATGGTATGCTCAGAGACGTACTCTTGCCGTTCATAACAGTTAAATGCGGTGTTCGTCATGCACATGAACCAACAAAATACCTTTTAGAAACATTTCGAGCTGATAGTGAATTTCACATGATTGAGCTTCTGAGGCAAAACAAAGTCCACGTCGCTGCTCCTATATTCGAGTCCACAAACCGACGCTACAACGAATTTTCCTTTTTCAAAATCACTGATTATCCTGGGAGCGAGTTCATCACTAGTGAAGATGAAGCCTACAAGCTCAGTCTTGTCTTGGACGCAGTGCTGAAGTCTTGGTCATTGTTTGCGGTGACTCTGATACTCACGGCTATTGCTGGAATCATTATGTGGGCGCTGGTATGTTTAACTTTGTGTAACTAGATTAGTATAGGTAATCGTAAGAATGCAAGTTCATCTAAAGATTTACACTGAAAGTGATATTTAAAAATTCTCTCAACATTAGACGAGCTCTTACATAAGTATAACTAGTATAAAATCAGACGTAATCATAGCAAATCGCCTTGCCACTCGATCGTTTTTGTTTTTGTTTTTCTTATGAACTGACAGGACACCTACTGGAACAGTGAAGAGTTCCCACGTTCATTCATCAAAGGATCTTGTGATGGATTCTGGTGGTCCTTTATTTCCATGACCACAGTGGGGTAAGAACATATTGACAGATAACAAAGCGTCCATCATTGGCAGCTATGTTATAGACCAGGTTGACGACAGTAATTCGGAGCACTTGAAAACATCACTAAGCTAAAAGAACGTTGGACTCACTAGTGCAAATTCTCGAGGCAACTCTCGGATAAACGACGTGTAAAAAAGTAAAATAAGATTATTTGCTTTCAACTTTTATTATTCATTCGGTGACGATATGTCCATTATACTTTTCTTGCCTGTACTTTTAAAATCCTATCACTGACACTTTTACTGGCAATGCTTATTCCACTAGCCAATTCGTATAAAACTATCATAAATTAATAGCAGTTTCTTTCTACATGAGGTATGGCGACAAAGCTCCAAAGTCGGTCGTGGCTCGAATTTTCTCTATCATCTGGATCCTGTTGGGTCTCATTATCATGGCGATCTTCATGGCGAACATCACCTCTGCACTTACAGCTGCTTCCTTGCAACTGGAACCAACTGATCTTGTCGGTGTCAAGGTTTGTCCAAATATCTCTTGTTGCTGTTGTTGCTGTGATATCCTAATTTAGGGAGCTTAAGCAAACCACGATGACGACGGTAACAAGAACGCCACCAGACAAGAGGTTTAATGAGCAGAACAATAGGTGTGCACGAGCGTTATAAATCTTTGAACATTTCTTTGCTGTTCTCAGCAAATCAAAACGTAAAATAAGTAAGTTCTGCGCAAACTGAGGAACACGAACGACGGCAGCTAAGTTTTTGTATTCATTTGGAATAAACTCTGTCATTGCAGATTCAACCTGGACATGATTTTAGGGCCATTGGCGTACTAAACATACCCAGATAGTTGCGAGCTTCGCTGGTAAAAAATAAATTCATTTTTACTAGGCGTCGTCCTCGCCGTCGCCGTTGGCTAAGGTCCCTTTTGTCTCGCCGGACGTGACGTTTGTTGCGGTTAGACACAAGACAAAGGCATATATTTAACAGTTTATGGTCTNACTAGGCGTCGTCCTCGCCGTCGGCGTTGTCGTTGTTTAAGTTCGCTGTTATCCAATTCAAGCGTGCTGAAGAACAAAGAATGATGTATATATCGATTTCAGTTTTCTAGTCTTCTGCGTAGGCAAAAGCGCTTAGAAATGGTCTCGTGTCACTTGGATCACTTGGCCTTCCTTATTTCCTATTGTTCAAGAGGTGTGCAAGATATATATGACACGTGTTATTGAACTAGCGTATGGTTATGGTACGGTATTGGAGAAATATTGGTCGAGATATCGACTGCTGCTACTACTGCTGCTGTTGCTTCTTCCTTTTCATTCATGTATGTTTTCCACTTTCCAATATGGTCCTTTCAGGTTCCATCATCGGCCACTGTTTGGGAATCCGGACCCGAAAGGTTGAAGAAATCGAAATGTTCTTTTCGACATCCAAAACAAAACTATAGGGTTTGATTATTCGGAAAGGAACTTCAAGTGAGCGAAATGCTAGTTCCTGATCGAAAACGTGGCCTTCTGATGTCAGTATTTCGTCAGCTAGACACAATATCACGACATACTAAAAGACCGTGAAAGAAATCTGTTTAACTTTTCATTGTTAACTCCGTTAACTTCGAGTAGGGGTAGCTGAGGGCGCATATGAATTCCTTTACAGGGTAGGTGATGCAAGTGGTCCTTTGGAAATAATAAGAAATTACCTCTTTCCCAATCACCAGAGAGTTTTTTTGTACCTATTGTGTTTTCGTCCTTTTCATATTCTAGGGGGTAGGAGAAAGTTTTGTTTTTTGACCGTAGACAAAAATGGCGTCGTGTGTCGTAATTTTCTTCTAGATGGTAAAGGTCTGTGCTTAGAGCCAAAAAAAAACCTTTAAAGATTTCGAAATGCTAAGGAATGAACATCAAGAAGACCCATTCGATGGTTAAGAGGGCGATAATGACTTAGAAGCAATAATATCGATCGCCCTTTGAGTTGCATGAAGGTCTGAATCAAAGGTCTTCCTGAATACATGTAAACCAAAACCGCGCTACGGAACACAGTAGGCAAATTAAAAATGGACTTTCTCGTCTAGAGTATCGAGACATCGCTAGTTCAGACAAATGTGCGTATTAAATTAGCATTCCCTTCTGGAGAATTGTTTTGGTGTTATTTATACAAACAGCTGATTTTTGATATTTGCGTTCTCAACAGAGGGATAGCGCAAATATACTATTGTAGAACGCTTATATCCGAGTCACTATTTTTCATGAACACGTCGATCTTTATGTCGTTCACCTGTTTACAATTAAGTGAAGCTTGCTGACTTCGCACTCTCCATTCGGAACCGCTCGTTGAAAGAGCATTGAAAATTTGCATTTATATACATCAAATAACCGATATGTTTTCATAATTCACGTTAGGTTGCAGTGCTGGCCAATAGTACAGAATACCAGCATGCAATTGAGGAAGATGCTAAACCAACAGGTTGGTAAAAACTGATGCAAAGGGCAAATATTTGAATCTGGTGTGGTTCAGAGGGGAATGGTACAGTTACAGTCATCGCGTATTATCTGATTCAGGTTTTTTTACCAGAAGGCAAAGGTTTTGTACATGAAAAATTAAATGTAACATTACAATAAACTAGGCGTCCATTACACATCAGATGCCCGTTTAATTAAGAATTCTCATTACGATCACAAATTTCAGATTGACGCTCTCGGTCCTATTCTCAATAGCTGGGTTTAAAGCTAACGTCAACTTTTTTCTTCCAATGTTTAGAGTATTCCAGAATTGACGACGTCATTCAAGCTGTGAAATCAAAGGAAGTAGATGGAATGTTACTGGACTGCTTCACAGCTTCCTATTATCAGTCAAGAGGCAAATTAAAATCACTTATCACCGTTAAGAAGCTAGAACTTCAAAGGGACACTGGAGTTCTATTTTCCCAAGATGCAGAGGAACTGGCAGAGTGCTTAAATTTTCACCGTTCAAACATTTTGAAGTCAGTTCAAACTTTTACCGCTACATATAAGGTATTTTTCATTACTATAAAACGTTTGAATATGAGCACTTGTCTGTCATTCTCCCCTGACTTAAATGGCACAATTCGAATTCTAAATGACGGAACAGTAGACTGATCCCTAAAGCGATATAAAATCTAACGAGGCGAAGACTTAAGATCTTTACCTTTACCGTTTTTGAGTTAGTAAAGCTGGCGAGGCACCACACTAACTGTATACAGTTAAAATAGTTAAATAACAAACAGGGAGAGGAAAAAATTGCTGGAAAATAGTGCAGGAAAAGCGAAGCATGAAATTAATTCCTAAAAGCAGTCACTTTCTTTCGGAACATCGCCAGCGATGGCTGGATGTACTTACATTAGCTAGGAGACAGTTCCAGTCCCTCAAAGATCTTGAGTAAAGGAAATATTTAACAACGTTAT